TCCTGACTAACTTTCTGTGAAATGCTGCTGATTTCTAATAATACAGCATGGTCCCAAAGCACGGACAGGGCACAAAAGCAGACGTGGTAATGTATTTGTTGAGTGCTGAATTTGTAAGTAACCTGGCTTTCCAATTAGCTGGTTATCTGTTTGGGGGGTCAGACCCTCAGCTGCAATAAGCTGATGTCACCCTTTTGAACAAATTTACCCTGCCTGAAGATGGGGCCATGTGTGGCTAATGAGCAGCTGGAGTGGCAGAATTTCTGAATTTCTGCAGTTACTGAAAATGCCTGCCCACCAGAAAGCAAGCGACTCAGCAGTGCAGTGGTACTCACAAGTCACGAAGAGTAAAACGTTCAAAGGGAAATGTTGAATGAAAGATCACTTATTTGCTAAAATTCTATTACTCAAATTCTTATCGATATTCTGCTAACCTCTAACCCCTCAAATAATTCTTCAGTGCAGGAACTGTGTGATGCAATTACATACAGATCACCAGATTTGCTATAATTCCTTGACTTATAAATGTGAACGAGGTATGAAAGTAGATAACTGTCTGATTAGCTAGCACTCACAAAAGGCAGCATTAAGTTCCCATAATATCTTCCACTTAGTGCTCTTCCTTGTGTCATAGCCTAAGTTACTAATAGGGTATTTTAAATCTTAAAAAGAAATGTGATGCTTTGTGCATTGCTGCAGAAAGGAAGGCTAGAACTGGAATGGATGACCCAGAAGGTCCTTTCGTTCCTTAATTCCTAAAAAATGAAAAGTTGCCTTGAATGGAAAAGTAAAAGTATTTTTGCTATGAAGGTACAGGAAAAATAGGATTTGAGGTTTTTAAATCATCCTTTTCTGAATGAAAAGTGTAATGACTGCAACCCACACCTGCAAAATCTGCATTTCTTCATAACATTTTTTTGTGAAGGAAAAGTAGTCTTGAACCTTACACATGATAGCAACTTACTAGAAAGTTAACTATATGTAAAATCTGGTGTTAGACTACAAGTTAAGAAGTTGGAGGGGAAACTGGCTTGACCATCAGACATCGAAGATATGTGCCAAGTAAGAGGTGGTTTTACAATGAAAACTGTCTTGTTTTAAATAAACCAAAGGTGGTCTTTCACTCTGTTTTCCCTTTGCGTATTTGAAAAGTGCTGAAACAGAGGAAAAGGAAGATTATAACACTTTCAGAAATAATTTAAAAGAATAAAAGGAGAGTAAGACTAATAATTACAGTGAAATGTTCCAGGGTGTTTTATTCAGTTAGCACAAAGGGTAATAAGAGCAGATGCTGTTCCAGTCCTTACAATTCTTTTGCTCATATTGATGTACAATGAAAAGAACAAAAGATAATTAATTGTCTACGAAGAGGACACTCTTAGTAGTAAGCTGATGTCTCAGCATCCATCTTCACATTGATCAATATTAGAATCTATAACTTCACCAGTTGTTTTATGAGGTCTTTAAAAAAAAGGACACAGAATTATCAAGATCATAAAAAAATGTATTTCATTCTTTTGTGGCTACAGCCTCATTATTCTGCCTGGGAAAGGACACCGCGATTCCTCTATGTCATAGCCCATTCTGAAGAGGAAGGTATTTGTGCCATTTTTCAACTTACGATCTGTGTAGTTTGTCTCAAGTGGATGGGTCCTTCTCTGAGCCAGCTGGCCCATAAAACAAATGTCCTCCTGCCCTCCTGGCTGGATGCATGCTCCTTCCCTTCCCTTCTCCAGGCTCCAGCCCCTGCAGCGCGATGCCACGCAGAGCTGCCAGACTGCGACAAACCAACTGAGTGCATCCTCTGCCTGGGCCTGAGCTGGCAGGATTTACACCAGCCTAAAGCAGCTTGGATGTACGCGGGCACAGCAGGGCTCTTGCTAATGAGCTCTGTCTCTCTCACAGGTGTCCTACAGAGCACCGCTGCAGCGCCGGAGTTCAGGCGCCGGCTTCGGATGTAGGGGAGGTGGTGTGTGATGGTTCACATCACACCACGCGTTCCTCTGCTGCAGCAGGCCGTTGTAAGCACAGACCCTGGCAGGCACTCTGTAACTTTTAAACACTGAAGGCATGTGAATGGTTCTATAGGTAGACCTAAACCACAGGTTTAGACTAATTTTTTGATAGTTAGGTGATGTGAATCCCATGGCTGGCATGGCAGGATTTGGAGGGCAGAAAGTGCTGAAAGCTTCAGGTTGAAAAATGGGAGAGGGAGGTAAAGGAAGAGTTGCTAAGAAGGGCTGGACTAGAAATTTTGCACTGATCGAGAGCAGTGCTGCCCTGAAGTCGACACATACTCAGGAGCGCAGGAGATGGAGACTGTGGGCTCTGTTTTGAGCTAGCCCTGCTCTGTGAGCATGCTCGGCTTAACAGTCTTTCAGCTTCCCTTGACTTACTCAGATGGTCAGCTCTCCAGAGGA